CTCACACGTTTCCGCACTAGAACATCACTCCATATCCACTTGGACAAGTACATCACGACCACCTTCGACACCGCCTCGTTTTTGAGGATTTCGGGCACAGCTTTATTCTTGGACAATGACTGAGCACTTCGTGCTATCCACTGAAGGTTTAATGAGTGCCTATGCATTCAAAACTGCACTTCTAGCTCTTATCCTGATGTATGGATAAACTATTAACCCAGCAGTCGACCTATCTTCTTGCATCACTCTGAGGAGGCCTTCATTATGGTTATAAATGCAATTATCTGTGACCCTTACTGTTTTGCGCAACATTTGCCCTGTCCACAAACAATAGGATAAAAGCGCTGCACGACCTCGGACTCGGATTACGCAATCTTTTGTATCCCCGGCCAATGAAGACTCTATCTAATTGGATGGAGGCAAGTAGGCAAGTATTGGAATTGAAAAGAATAACGTGCCACCTTTCCGAGGCAGAAATTACAATACAAACAAGGTCCCTATGAGGTAAAGTATTTCATCATTAAAATCTCGAAAACAGTACTATTTCACAAGTGCTTGGAGTCTAGAAATTTAGTTTTTCAATTCCTAGATCTATTTCTAGATCACATTGCTACTTGTGCAAAGTTTCTTCTTTCATGCGAAGCTACTACAACTATATAAGATTCCGTTGAGATGTTGAAGATAATTGAAGCCAGAAATTTTGTGTAATCGAAACGTATCATGTGTCAGTCAAATGACCTTTAACGGCAAAATTTGTAGCCAGTTCATAATTTGTTGCTAATCATTTGTCTACAGAAGTGTCGTAAAAGGGTCGAATTTTAAGTGTAAAATCTTTACATAACTGAAAAAACAGCTAACGCCTTCTCATCTAGATTCAACTGAAATCATTCATCGCGACCACTCACAGTTTGCTCGATCTCCGGTTAAAAGCGACTACCTTCGACCATGTTATTTCACTAACTGGGCCCAATATAGGTAAGATTTTTTGATGCAGTTCCATAGTGGCTATTTAGCATGTTTCAATGTTTGAATGTTCAAATCTCTAGAAACGGTCGAGGAAAATACATGCCCGAGGATTATGTGCCCGGTCTGTGTACTCACATACTTTTCGCATTCGGATGGATGAACGAGGATTACACTGTTAGGTCTGTGTAGGCTTGTTTACTTCTGACTATTTTTGACTAACATCCGTAATGAACAATCTTAGTGCTGTCTTACAAAAAATTCCAACCTTCTCATTTTTACAGAGCGTTTGACCCGGCCGATCTGCCGAATGATTGGGCTGGAGATGGCATGTTCAAGCGTGTAAACGCTCTCAAGCGCACCGATCCAGGTCTGAAGACACTCTTATCTATTGGTGGATGGAGTTTTGGAACGCGTCTGTTTAAGGTAAAAATGGAGAGCTATCGTTGTCGCCGTTGC